GCAAGGGAATCACGAGGGTCCGCTGCCTGGGTCAGGCCGGGAGAGGAGCTTGGCCTGGGCGCACCGCACTCGGAAAGGTCTCCCCCAGGCTTTGCTCGCCCGAAGCCTGGGCGCCGTCCTCCCTCCGCCGCTCAGTGGGGCTAGAGGTGGGAAGTGTGGCAATCGGTCGGGCGGGGGGAACTGGGGGCCGCAGCAGGGCTGAAGTCGCTGACCGCAGTTGGGGGCAAGAGGGTGCGGCAGGCGCTCGGTCGCTCCTCGCCGGGCATCTCGAGTGTCTGTCCCCGAGGGCCGCGGAGAGCCCAGAGTGGCCGCGGGGCTCCCGCACTGTCTTCCCTCCTCGGGGTCTTCTCCAGGTGCCGAGATTACAGTGGGCGCGGCCGCGGGGCTGGCCAGCTAGGGCTCGGGTCCCAGAGCCGGGAAAGGAGAGGCGGCAGGGAGCGGGGGCTGGGCGCGGCCGCCCCGCGCAGAGGCCCGGGCCCCGCTGCCCTCCCTCCTCTCCCCTGCCGTCGCCCGGCTGCAGGCCCACGCCCAGCCTCCCGGTTCCTGGCCCGCTTGCGGCCTTGCTCTCCCGGGCTGGGCTCGGATGCGGCTCGGCTGGGCTCGGCGGGCGGAGGAGGAAGGAGGGAGGGAGCGGGCGGGCGGGCGGAAGGGGGAGGAGAGGAGCGAGCCTAGCCAGTCCGGAGGGGGGTGGGGGGAACGGAGCTCCGCGGACGCCTGGAGAGACCGAGCAGCGGCTCCCGGCCCGGCCAGCTCCGCGACGCCGCCGCCGCCGAGTGAGTCGGGACCCCAGCTTGGGAGCCGCGGGCGCTGCGCGCAGGGGTGGGGCGGGGAGCGGCCGCGGAAAAGTTGGGAGAAGTGGGGGCGGCTCCGACGCGGCTCCGCGGAGAGGGCCCCGGCTGCGGAGCGAGCGGGGGGCGACAAGGGCAGAGGGAGCGGGGCGCGGGCTCGGGGCGGCCGGGCGGGGGCGGCGGCCGCGGGCTCAGGGGCCTGTGCCCGGCGCGCTCATGGCGGCGGGCCTGGGGGAGGGCGGGCCGGAGCGCCTCGCGGGAGCGGCCGGGCCCCCAGTGCCGCCCGAGGGCAGGCTGGCCAGGCGCCTCGGCATTGTGGGGCGCGCCTCCCCAGCCCGGCGAGGCAAGCCCTGCTGGCAACAGGTAGGGGCCCGGGGCTGCTCGCAGAGGGCCCGAGCCACAGTCGCCCCCTTTGTTGGGGAGAGGAGCTTGGTGACCATTTGCGCGAGAGCCCCAGCCTGGCAGTGGGCCCGCGGCGTCGCTCCTGGCCTGCACGGGTCCCATGGCTGGAGTAGGAGGGTGGGGAGGGTCCTGCCGCTTTTTCTTCGGACCGGCCCACTGTGCCCACTCCGGGAGCGAGGTCAGAGCGTCCATGTGCTTAACGGGAAACAGGAAGGAGCGGCTCTGAGTGTCTGCTCCGGCCCCCCAAGGCTAAGGCTCCTATACCGTTATGGGGTGTGTGTGGCTGGGGCGAAGAGGGGGGAAGCTGCTGGTGAAACTGGTTTTCTGGGCCACAGCTTGTTAATTACCGGCCCGGAGGCTCTCTGGCAAGTAGGTTAATTGCAGGTGTGTGGCACTAATATTTGGCCTCAGCTTGGGGGTTTCTCTGTCTCCCCGAGCCAGGCTCCTGGCATCACAACCTGGACTTAGTTACCTGAGTTCCTAGACTCAGTACTCAGGGGTTTCTGAGGATCCCAAGGAATGAAGTGAGCCCCTCTTCACAGGGGAATGAATCTGGGAAGGCCTCCAACAGACAGTCACTCCCACGTCTGTGTTGGAGGGGTCGCTGCCCAATACCAAAGTCCAGGTGACTGGGTCTAAATGTGGGTGGTGGACTGCACTTGTAATGGGGCTCCTAGGGATAAGGACTTGTCATAGCCTTGTCTCTCTGGCCCTAATCATAAAGTGACCTGCACAGATTCTCTGTTCTAAGGGGAATTCCTTGTCTCCCTTGGTACCCCATAGCCCACTCCCTTCACTGGGGCCTCTGGCCAGCTTTCCCCCTGAAGGCAGGGCCTCCTCACCTCCCTGTCACTGGCCAGGAGCCTACAGGCCTCCCGATACTTTACTGTGATCTTCAGCACTGCCCCCGCTCTGCCTCTTTAACCTGCCGGCCTCTCCCTGCCCCTGGAGGCTCTAGTCACACTCAGTATTTGGGTGTTTTGGGGCCTCTAGTGGGGCAGCCCAGACATGCTAAATTTGGGGACCTACACGGCTGCCTGGAGCAATGACACACCTCCTGTTGGCTTCAACTGTGCTGCAGCCTTCTAGTTGCTTCTGTGCTGTTGCCAAAAGAAAGTTTTCAACAAGACTACTCGGATCCTCCCCCTTTTTTTGTAGTCTCTCAGGCTTCAGTGGCAGCTGGAAGCCTGTGGGACCCTGTGTTTGTCCGTCTCTCCTCCTTTGCTGATCCTGGTTTCCTCAGTTATTTCTTCAATAAATAAGAGACCTGCAGGACTATTTTCGTGTTGAGTCTGTGAGATCCCTTCCTCACGGACTCAGACCTCTGCCCTCTCAGCATTCTGGGTTTACAAGCCCCCAGAGCCTTGTAAAGGGCTCTGCCCCCTTTACATCCCACTCTGAGGGGTTGGGAGGGGTCAGTCAAGAGATGGGGCAGAGAGTGGGGGCTGGGCAGAGCCCTAGTCAAGTTCCTGGTAATCCAATGCCCATGAAATCCCTGCTCTCTTGGCCCCTGTCCAGCCTGTGCCTCAGAGAGTGGCATCTGTGTCTCTGAGGCAGGTGTGTGTGTGAGAGAGGAGAGAGAGACACACACAAGACACATATACTCTGTTGTCTCTCCATGTGTGGGGTGAGTACATTCTGTGAGTGGGAAAATATCTGTAGGTGTGATTTCTCCATCAGAAAATCAAATACCTACCCTGAGGGCCGGCTCGCCAGAAAAGCAGGGTTGTCTTCCCTATGCCCAGTTAACATCTCCTCTTCTTGCCCCGGCCTTTTGTTTATGGGATCCCGTGCTTGGCTTGGTGCGCTGGTGCCAAGAAGCCACCAGAGCTGCCTCAGGAGCAAACCTGTTGGTTCTGTGGGGCTGTGTAAGCGAGGCTGCTGGGAGCCCCTGTTGTCCTCTCTGCCCCTGCCCATGTTGAGTCAGAAGCCCTGACCATGCTGAATCGGGTGCCTCTCCCTGCTGGGCTAGGCCCTGGGGGTGGGGAACAGTGGGCAGGGATGGGGTAGGTTTGCTCTGCTAATGGAAGTACTGGGCAGCAAGGGAGGGCTGTGGTCACAGAAAGCCTGCAACCCAGGTATGAGAGAGCCCCCATTAATCTGCATTTCTGAGCTGCAGACACACCATGTTCTTTGGCTCTCCCTGCTTGGGATGGGAAGGGTAGACAGGTGTCGTCTTGTCTTGGGGTTGAGATAATGGCCCTATCCTGGTGCTTGCCCTTGACCACTCTCTGACCCTTTTTCTGCTAACTTCCCCAGCTCCTCACCTTCTTTGTAGGTTTAGACCGGCAGAAGACAATCCTGGGCGCCAGAAGTCAGGGAGAGGGGCCCCACTCACACCCTCTGGGACCCCAGCCAGCCCTCTGAATCTTTAATCCTAAAAATGTCCCTGACAGAGAAGCTTCCTGCCAGTTTCCACTGACCAGGGTGGGGATGGGGCCCGACATCCAGGCCTGTCTGTATACTTTTGCTTTAGATCTCCGTGGAGGACAAGGTGGGCTCCAAGAGATGTGGAGCCCAGGGGACACATCAGATATCTTTCCCCACCCCCAATCTAGCTAAGCTAGAAAGGTGGGAAGGATGAGCCAGAGGCAGGAGGCATGCTAGCACATTGAGGCATTCTGTATTGTCCTTCTCTGCTAGACTTTCTCAATCTTTTCTCTATGAAAATGTGTTGTGCACTTGGTTGTGTGGGGAAAGTTCCACTGTGGAGAAGTATGTTTAATTTTGTTCAGTTCAAAAGGCTTCCATCTCTTTAACTAATTAAATATTTATTCTGGCTAAGGTAGAGGGGGAAGGGGCAGTGCCCTCGGGAACTGAGCCTAGAGTGTGTGTGTGTGTGAATGAGTGTTACTGGGGGAAGGTGGAGCTGAAGCTCCTTTATTGTCAGTGCTGACCTCTGACTTCATCCGAGAGCAGTGACCAGGAGTGGGGACAAGAGGGTAAAGTCCTTGAGCTGAAATACTGACCCGTGACAGGCTGAGAGGGATTTCTGAGAGGGATTTCGCAAGTGCTGTGGTGGGTGTGGGCGGAGCCATGGGAAGAGCGGGCCCGGGCCGAGGACCAGCCCAGCTCAGCTGGGATCTGATCAGCCTTCAGCCAGTGGCACCAACTGGTCTCCAGTTCCTGGTGGAGAACAGTCTCCCCACTCTCTTCCCTCCAGGTGGGAGGAGACCACCTTCTGCGTCAGCTTTTAGTTCCATGCCAGCCTGAATACCAGCACCTCTCTTCCCTCCTGAGAGGATGAGGGCTAGGTGGCCCAGAAACTTCTGCCCTTGTCATCCCACTGGCGTTCTGAGTCCCAGGACTGCCAGGCATTCTGTTGGTATTGGCATCACTGACTCCATAGGACCATCTTGCTGCTGCTCTCAGCTCCCAGCAACTGCTCTCCCCCTCAGGAGCACCGGACAATGCCTTTAGAGGGAACCTCAAAGGAGCTCTGTACCCTCCCTCATTCCAGTATCCAAGTGGCCAGGGGTTGGTCACTGCCTCCCAGTGGACCCTGGGGAGGAGGGGGGAGATGGGAAGTTTGGGATGGGTGTTCCCCTGCAGACTAGTTACTATTTTATGGATGAGCCTTAATAAATAGCTCTTACTTCCACCAGATGTCTTGGTCTTCTGATTCCATTGTCTGTCCATGAATCCCTAATCTTTTTTTTTTTTTTTTTTTAGATTTTATTTTTTTGACAGAGACAGACACGGCAAGAGAGGGAACACAAGCAGGAGTGGGAGAGGGAGAACAGGCTTCCCGCTGAGCAGGGAGCCCCATGCAGGGCTCAGTCCCAGGACCTTGGGATCATGACGTGAGCCGAAGGCAGATGCTTAATGACTGAGCCACCGAGGCGCCGCCCCCCATCCCTAATTCTTTACAGCCTTGCCTTCACTTTGTTTTTGAAAAGATACTTCAGACAGTTCTTCTACCTTATGTGCAGGAATTGGATGGCTTGGCATGGGGTGTTAATCTCAGGTGGAATAGTTTGATGTTCACTGATTGTCCTGGAGCTCAGCATCTTTTAGGGACATAATTTTGCTTTTCTCTGGCCTCTTAATTTTCCCCAGGGACCTGCTGGCCCAGAAGGGTTGTAGGGAAGGAGGAGGTAAGGTTTGCTTTAGCCCTGCAATCTGTTTTTGGGCTTCCTTGGCATGGAGGCTTCTAACTGTGGGTTGGCTTGAGGGATAGAGGGGTAGTTGGAGCGTGGGGGCAGGGGAGGAGAAGGTGCCTCTGGTTTTACTCAGATTGTTACAACTTCCAGGGTCAGATCCTGCCTGTTTTCCCTGTTGGGGTAGCAAAGTGATGGGGAGACCCCAAGGTTTTTAGTTCGAGAGAACTGGGACTCCTGGGGGTCACCAGCAGCATCTTTAGTTGCAGTAAATGGTAAATGTTAGAACTGGAAAGCCACCATATTACAGACAAGGAAACTGATTTTCCCAACACCATGTGGCTGGGACCAGACTCCAGGGCTTGAGTCTGTCATCTTTCTCTTCCCCCATAGCTGCCCCCCTGTGATGCCCTCTGACTCCCCCCCACCCTCACTCAGGATGCTCCAGACCTTGTATGACTACTTCTGGTGGGAACGGCTGTGGCTGCCTGTGAACTTAACTTGGGCTGATCTAGAAGACCGGGATGGACGTGTCTACGCCAAAGCCTCAGACCTCTACATCACACTACCCCTGGCCTTGCTCTTCCTCATCGTTCGATACTACTTTGAGTTGTGAGCATACCAACCTTCCCCCATGCCTGCCTTGGCTGCCAGCCACAGTTTCTCACACTTCAAGTTTGTCTCTTGCTGTTTAATTGGTCCCAGACCCGGCTGTTCTGGCCACCCATATCCCTGCCTACTGTGTGCCCCCCATTGAACGCAGCATTGTCTTCCTGAGGGCTCAGCACCCCCAGGCCCTTTCCTTCAATGGTTATTTGTTCTCCCTCTCCACTCCGCCTGGTCACTCGTGAACACAGGCAGCTTTGTCAGCTTTGGGCAGCCAAAGGAGGCCAAAGAGGGAGTTGCCGGGAAACTGAGGCCCAGGATAAAGTTGCCTGAGCTTGCAGCCCTTTCCCCTCTCAGCTTAGGGGCTACCAAGAAACTGAGGTGCGTTAAAGGAGACCCTTTTCACTGCTCTCCCTTCCTCAGTTATGTGGCTACACCACTGGCCGCCCTCCTGAACGTAAAGGAGAAAACTCGGCTGCGGGCACCAGCCAACCCCACCTTGGAGCACTTCTACCTAACCAGTGGCAAGCAGCCCAAACAGGTGTGAGCTGCAGGCCCTGCTCTGGGAGTTGCTGGGTGCTGCTGGGGGAGGGCGCAGGTTGCAACGCCATGTGGGCGGGCGACCAGAGGAGAGGGCAGTGGTACTGATCCAGGTTCTTGCTGGGAGGCGGTGGCGGGAGGATGGGGTGCTGTCGAGTTCCACAGTTGAACATACTGGGCTTCTTCACGACACCCAGGCAGAGGTAGAGCTCCTGTCTCGGCAGAGTGGGCTCTCTGGCCGCCAGGTAGAGCGCTGGTTCCGCCGCCGCCGAAACCAGGACCGGCCCAGTCTCCTCAAGAAGTTCCGAGAAGCCAGGTAGGGGAGGTTGGGGCAGGAGAAGCTGGGTGGCAGAGGAAGGTCTGATGTACTGCTTGGAGAGGTGGGCCACGGCTGTGTGCAGGAAGAGGTTGTGCCCTGGTGAGGCGGCGAATTTGGATATTAATGATACTCTTGAGAGGGAGATCTCTGAGCACTTGGGAGTGGTTGGAGGGCTGTGCCACTCTCCCAGCCACTCTCCTCATCCTTTCTGCTTCCTCTTCCAGCTGGAGATTCACCTTTTACCTGATTGCGTTCATTGCTGGCATGGCCGTCATCGTGGATGTGAGTGCGGGGTTCCTGGGAGGTAGGAGTAGGTTTTTTGTCAAGGTGGTGTGAAGCCATAGAGTGTGGGCCCCTCCTCTTTTAACCTCTCACCATCTCTCTGCAGAAACCCTGGTTCTATGACATGAAGAAGGTTTGGGAGGGATATCCCAAACAGGTATGAGATGGGGTCCTGACTCCTTATCTGGGGTGATTAAGACAATCAAGGTAGGACAGGACTAGGACATGTACACCTGTGTGAAAAGATCATCTCTGGGACACATGGCAGAAGGCACTGCAGTCGTGGTGCTAAACAAGGGCTAGAAGGGCTGGGTCGGACAGGTGAGACCCTCAGGTCCTGTTGTTCAGGGTCCCTCACCTGTTTCTCTCCTCTCTCCCAGAGCACCATCCCTTCCCAGTATTGGTACTACATGATTGAACTTTCTTTTTACTGGTCGCTGCTCTTCAGCATTGCCTCTGATGTCAAGCGAAAGGTAGGTCAGGGAGCTGTGCCCCTAAGCCTAGGAGCCAAAACAAAGCCCCGGGATGGAGAGCCTTTCTCTTTGATTTCTGGTATTTGGATGGAGCTGTGGGTTAAGGGGAACTAGGTGGAAGGGGAAAGAAGTAGGATTAGAGTGGGGGCTGGGGAACACAAAAAAGTCCCCTGGAGCCTGCATTTCTTTGCAGGATTTCAAGGAACAGATCATCCACCACGTGGCAACCATCATTCTCATCAGCTTCTCCTGGTTTGCCAATTACATCCGAGCAGGGACTTTGATCATGGCTCTGCATGACTCTTCCGACTACCTTTTAGAGGTCAGGCTCGCTGGGCATTTCTTCAAACCTAAGAGACTCCGGTGCAGGTTCTCCTGTCCCTCTCCCTTTTTTGGGGGTGGTGGTGGTGTGGGGGGTGCTGACCTTCCTGGGACCAAGGCGGTGGGGGCACAGAGCCAGTGTATATATAAATGTATATGGGAGAGTCAGGAGCCCATGATGATGGACGGGGGCTATCTGTACAGTCAGCCAAGATGTTTAACTATGCGGGATGGAAAAACACCTGCAACAACATCTTCATCATCTTCGCCATCGTCTTCATCATTACCCGACTGGTCATCCTGCCCTTCTGGTGAGTAGGCCAGTCTATACTCCTGTCCTCAAGGAATCAGGAGTCTTGCCTCTCCCCTTATCTGTTCTCATCCCCGCTGCCTCCTCCGCCTCCTCTGTGTGTTTCCAGTTCTGTCCCTCCTTTCCTGATGCAGGATCTTACACTGCACGGTGGTCTACCCCTTGGAGCTCTATCCTGCCTTCTTCGGCTACTACTTCTTCAATTCCATGATGGGAGTGCTACAGCTGCTGCATATCTTCTGGGCCTACCTCATTCTGCGCATGGCCCACAAGTTCATAACTGGAAAGGTGACTGCTCTGTAGGCCCTACACCCTTCAACTCTAGAAACAGCCCAGACTCCCTCCCATATGAGCAGGCATCCTGCTAAGAAACTACTGTGGGGCCCTGGGTACAGCAAGACAAGTCTGCTGAGAGAGGCATTCCTTAAGCATTTGAGGACAGCATGTAACCCTTCTTTTCCCTTTCCACAGCTGGTAGAGGATGAACGCAGTGACCGGGAAGAAACGGAGAGCTCAGAGGGGGAGGAGGCTGTAGCCGGGGGAGGAGCAAAGAGCCGGCCCCTAGCCAACGGCCACCCTATCCTCAGTAACAACCATCGTAAGAATGACTGAACCATTGTCCCTGCTGCCCCTCAGATTAACGCATAAAGCCAAGGAACTAGCCTGTCCTCCCCAGAGGACCACTTAAGCCCTGGGGAGAAAGCAAACAAGGAGAGAGTTCTTCTATATCCCAACCCCCTGCTTCTTTGTCACCCAGTTGCCTTTAACCAAACTCTAACCAGCCTATCCCCAGGTAGAGGGGAGGTTGGTATATCCTGTTAGAGGGGGGATGGACTTATTTTCCCTCTGTTATTCTAAGTTGTCCTTTATATTGCTTTGGAGGCCTGCCTCAGCTCTGGGGGTGGCAATTACAACTCACATTCCTTATTCTTCAGAATTTGGCCCTAGCTGTTTGCCTCAGACTCCCTGACCTCCAGAGCCAGGGTCGTGCCTTATTATCCCATCTGTGGGCCTCATTCTGCCAAAGACGGACCAAGGCTCACCCTTCTAGGCTCCCTAACTTGGGCCAGAAACCAAAGCTGAGCTTTAACTTTTTCCCCTCCTGAGACACAAATGAATTGAGTGTAGGAGGGTACATATGACCCCTACCTCTGCCAAAAAGGGGGGGGCGCATACTGGGACTGCTCAGATGGTGTACGTGTTATTTCTCTGCCAGCTGTCATCACAGGTCCAGGATCTTAACTGCCTCCTTCCTCTGGCCTCATCCCCTAGGCTAGCTGGTTTGGAATAGAATGGCAACTAGTTCTAATTTTTATTTATTAAACATTCGGTGTTTTGGTTTAAAGCCAGAATTACAGCTAGCACCTGGCATTTCAGCAGAGGGACCACTTCAGACCAAAATGTACTGTTAATGGTTTTTTTTTTTTTAATTAAAATATATTAAAGATTAAGTAAAACATGGCAATAAGTGTCTGAGACTAATAGGAACTGAGAAGGGAGATCAACTAAATAAACTAAGGTAGTCTTCCTCATGGTTATGTAACGTTTTCTTTTTTAAAATTTCACATGGCAATTAAGAAAAAGCAAAGGTAGAGAAGGTGTGAGATTAATGACAGCTGCCCCTTGGGAAAGATGAGGGGTGGAAACAGCTCTGTCCCTGGAAGACCCAGAACTGGGAGAATGGGGGCTGAGGAAGATGAATCAAATCACAATCTTCGTTTTAATATCTTGTTAAAAAGACGTTCAAGAAACTATACAAATCAAGGATAGTAGATACGCAGCCCTCATTCCAGGAATACAGTCTGTCAGAAGCATGAACACTTGAACAAACATAGGCTGGGAGGGAGGGGTCACAGGAGGACCGAGGGATATCAGGCCCAGGTCGGCATGACAACCTCTCCCTGCCTCCGGTGCTTTAGGAGGTGGGAGGAGGGACCCTGCCTGCTAGCACCACATGGGAAGGGATCTCTTGATCCAGAGTTCCCATTTCTATCTACTAGGAGCTGGGGGAAGAGCTAGGCTGGAGACATGGGGATCAGAGTTGAACAGCCAGGAAGACCCAGTTCCTGAGGAAAGGATGGTTCAGGGAGGGTTCGGAAAGTTCAGAAGGAGGCTATCCTCTAAAGAAGACGCCCTCTGCATTCGATGGCCCCGCAGCAGCAGAGCAGCTCCTTGCCTTCCACGCTGCCCACCTCGTAGTTGTAGTCCCAAGTGAGCTCTGTCCCAGCCCGGATCCTCCTGGACAGGAAGACAGGGATGGGGGTGGTGAAGGCAGCATGCCACTAGGTGTGAGCAGAGCTAGGGCAAAAGGTGGGGGCCTTCCCCCTCCTTAACCCTGGCTGGTGCTCTTACCCAACTTTCCCCCTCTCCCTGACCCCCTCTTACTTGCTGGCAAAGAAGGCCACCCAAGGGAAGCGAAGATCGTGAGTGTCCACGAAGACATTCTGGACAAACAGGTTGGGGCTGCAGCTATGCTGTGGGTTTAAGGACAGGACCCATAAGAACAGAGAAAACAGAACCCAGCTTTGTGGGGGTGAGTGTAAGTTGGACAAAAAACAATGCCCTTTGATCCTCCCCATCATAGAGAAGTTCTCAAAGAAAGCAACGTCTTTAAGATCCTAGAGATCAAGAATTTCTAACAAGTAAAGGTAGGTTTACATAGTTGTGTTAAAAGAACTAGAAATTTGAGGACAGTGGGATAACCCAGCATTTAGAGTGGAGGGAGAGGGGTCTCACATTGAGGTAGCGGCCGAGGTTGCCTTCTAGCTTGGCATCAATGATGTAGCAAGACTCTTCCCCATCATAGAACTGGCGTGTGTTCTTACGAACAGGTGTACTCTCCCCCTTTTCCACAGATGCCATGTTGGTGGACTTAATGGCAATCCCATGAGTGGACTTCAGAGCAAAGCCTCTGGTTGATTTTACTGCCACCTGGCGCTTTGTCGGACCTGGACAGGAAGAACAGGGTTAGGCCCCATCCCACGTCACGACTGGATCCTCTACCTCCATTTCCATCCCACTCATTGCACTGTAGGAATACTGATTAGCCGTGACCCTGAAAGCAAAGATTCTAATTGGCAGTTTTTTCAAGCAGGATTAGATCTGCTAGGTAAAGGAGCTGAGGCAAAAGAGTAGGGAAGTGGAAAGGAGAGAGAAGGGGATGTGCTAAACATTAGCAGTTGAGTTGGGAATCAGAGAACCCTCCCAGACATATATCGACTCTTAAGATCTGAATGTTTTCCAACTTCTTTAGCTTCCCTAAAAAAGCCCCTATCCCAGCTTTCCTACCGTTCCTTCCTACTACCCCCAACATTCTTCCAGACTACCAGACATGTTCTTCTTGTCCTCAAAGTCATCCGCTTCGGAGCCAGAGGAGATGGTCTGGATATCATCGCTATCCATTGCTGTGGCTGAAGTCTGACCAGTGGTGGGCTTCCGGCTGGTCCCACTTTCCCCCTCACTTTCTGTGCTGCTAGACAATGTTAGGACATCCTGGGAAACACAAAGGTGAGAAGAAAGAAGAATAAATGGAGAGGACCCATTCAAGTTCTTGCTCTTTCTACAGTTAGGTAGGAAGAAACTAAGACTACAGCAAGAGAAAGATGAGACGCTGGCTGAAGGAAAAGGAAGCAAGAAGTCACAGCCAAAGAATCAAGGGGTATATTGGTAATTATCAGTAAGGCCCTGAAGAGGTGAGGTACAGCTTGAGGGAGAAGGCCACTTACATCAGCATTGGACTGAGCAGAGGCCATGAGTCGTCGGCTCTGATGCATACTAGTCTTACTAGGTGGGCGGCGAAGTCCTTCAAGCTTCATGGGAGAAGGATTGTAACCATAATTTCGAGAGCTTTCAGTAACTCTAATGGAAGGGGAAGGAATGAGAGGGAGTCAGATGATGGCGTCTTTTATAGGCTTGAAACAAGGCAGATCTGGAAACAGGTCAGAAAGAGAGGCTCTTACATTGACATCTTGTTTCGGTCATCAGGCTCCTGGAAGAGAGCAAGTGAAAGGTTAAAAAGTGTTTTCAGTGGTCCTGGGTAACAAATCCAATAATCAGACTTGATCCCAAAGACCTCAGCTAGTGAGAAAGAAGTATGCTAGCTAGAGACTGCTCTGCAGCTTGACAGTAACAGTGATATTCTCATCACAACACCTGAAAGGGGGTTTCCAACACTTTCCAATGACAGACGTAAGATGCTCAAGGCAAATACTGTGGGCAGGGACATAATTCACCACCCATAATGTGCTAAGTTTCAACATCAATAAAAATACATCTAGAATCAACATTTTTTTTCCCCTTTAAGGATTTACTTTCTGGGGGGGGGGGCAGGATGGAGATAGAGCATGCAAGCAGAGGGAGAGAGGGAGAGACTCTCAAGCTGACTTGAGCCCAACATCGGGCGCAATCTCATGACCCTGAGATCACGCCCTGAGCCGAAATCAAGAGTTGGATGCCTAACTGAGCCACCAAGACCCCCTCGATTCTTGGTTTTTAAGTATAACAAAAGACAGCAATGCTGCAGATAACCTGAAATATAACACTTAATTTAAAAAACTACTTATAAATCCTTTACTTTGGAATGAACCAGATACTTCTTTCCCCAGGTTGATTTTAAAATAATTTGGTTCTTTAAAGCACTAAGAATGTGCTGAGTGGTCGGGTGGCGGGGGGGTGGTGGTGGCGATAATCCAGTTTGCCACAGAAATATCCACCCAGTAAAATGAATGAAGAGTGAGAGTAAGCCACATTACATTACTACACCAGTTACACAAAAGCCACTGCTCTTGAGTCTCCTGCCACCACTTACCTCTTTCTTGGGCTGCTTGATGTCTCCCTCATCCTTGAAGCCCAGCCCTGAGGTGGAGGCCTTCTCAGCCTCCCCTTTGCCTACTCCAGCCCGGCCTTCCCCACCTTCGCTAGTCTTGAAGGATGAACGGCTATCAGAGTCAGCAAAGCCACCTTCACTGACACTATTGCAGCTCAACCACGAGGCCACCTTGTTTTTGGGTGTCTCTTCAGAGGAAGGCGGATTGCAGCCACCTACAGGAATTGCTGGAGGGACAGGAATATGTGGGGGGCCGAGGTCTGGGGGGCGGGAGTCCTTGGAAGCGGTCTCAGAAAGTCCATTCTCCTTTTGGCCCCGGGTCTGCCGCCGGGTAGCATAGCTGCGCCACACGGAGCTGGTGCTGAAGTCCTCATCTTTACAGAAGTTATCATCGGAGCTGTCATCATTGGACTCTTCGGGATCCTCTGTGCCACTGTTGCCATCCTCCTGGTCTTTCAAGTCCACCCCACTGCTGTCAGAGGAACAGGGAGCATCACTCTCATAGCCTTCCTTGAAGTTCTCCACGCTCTCGATGTGGTCCAGATTGGCAAAGTACTCATCACCCATCTCCAGGCCCTCCTTGTCCGCAAAGTCATCTGTCAGGATCTTGCCTGGGAATGAAGAGAATTAAAGGCATATTCCATGGTTATGAGGATCTTTTAGAAAGTATGGGGGTCCTTCCAGCAATACCCAGCCACCGACACACAGTCAAGACATCTCTATCATGGGCTCTCCCTTGTCACCTCAGTGTCTTAACTCTAGTTTTAAATCTTGCCCTTTCTGCCATCCCGTCTTCCTCTTCACTTGGTTTACCAAAAGGGTGTCTGCAGCTATGCTAAAAGCCTCTGGGTGGAGAGACGTGAGAGGAAATGACACACCAGGCCCTGCTCCCATGTCCCTTGTCTAAAAAATCCTCACGTCCAATTGGGAAGGGTTTGTGCTATGGCGAGTGCCGTGCAATGTGTAAGCCTGATGATTCACAGACCTGTACCCCTGGGGCAAATAATACATTATATGTTAATAAAAAAAAAAAATCCTCATGTCCACTTTCATCCCTTTTCCTTCTTGTCCTTATAAAGCTCTTTGTCCCTTCCTAGTCCACCCAGACAGGCACATCACTTGTCCTGTTCTTTACATAAGAAAATCCTGGCCTCCTCTTACTCCCAAGTTCACATGTCAAGCATTTTATTCTTCTGTTTAGCTTCTCTCTGATTCAATTCCCTACCATGTCCTAACCCCAGAGGCCACTCTTTCATTTCATCACCAACCTGCATAAATACAGACAAAGGAGCCTTTGGCAATGTCATCCAAGCAGCGGATACCCCAGCCCTTGTTCTGTGTCTTGAACAGCTGTAGCCGAACCTGGAGTCCGTGCTGCACCAGCCGGTTTGTGCACATGTTTGGGTCACATTTGCAGCGTTTGTTACACTCATAGACTCTGGGAGGAGGGACAATAAACTCAATCATAACGTGATTACTAGATCCGTTCTGCCCGCAGAACTATAACAATTCTTAAGGTATCATCATTTAGTAGGTAGTGATCTAAGTGAGTCAATTTACTGAACTGTCCATGCTCTTTGATTCATTTGGAAATAGAGCCCAAGGAAATAACTCAGAAGGGGGAAAAGTGATTCATGGAGGTATTTATCACACTAGTTAACAGTGAATAGCAGAATGCCGAACACCTGGAGGAAAGCGAGCAAACTGA